TACATGGCAATAAAATTGACTTTCTATTCTACCAATTAAATCTATCTAAAATTTTACCCGTCACAACGTGAAAAAATTGTAGGTTTATCAAAGGGCAGACATAACATAAGAAATATTTCAGAAATTCTTGGCAAATCAAAATCTACTGTCCATGATGTAATTACAAAATACAATAAAAAAAACTGCACTGAATATTACATTTAAGAGTGATAGACCTCTAGCTTTATCAAAACAAGATAAATATCAACTAAGAAGAATAGTCTATCGAAACTGTAAACAAGCCATGAAAGAAATTACTGAATAATTAAACCAGGGTCTTAATATTTTATTAGGTAGAAAAACTGTTAAGCAAGCACTGCATTCTATGGGTTATTATGGATGTACTAGTAGGAAAAAACCTTTAGTTTCTAATATAAATAAAACAAACGTTTATTTTGGTTTCATATTAAAAAAAGTTGGCAAGATGAATGGAATTTTATAATTTTTAATGATGAATCTCGTTTTGAATTATTTAGAAATAATGCTAATTAATAGGTTTGGCATAGGATTCATGAAGCATATGCAAAAGATTGTTTAATTCCAATAGTTCAAAAGTCAGAAGGAGTTATAATTTAGGGTGTTTTTGCAACTTTAAAGTAGGACATTAGTACTAATTGAGGGAAATTAAATGCTGAAAAGTATGTAAAATTACTTAAACATTATCTTTTACCTTTTCTTAATGAACTTGAATCTAATAGCTATATTTTTCAAGATGATAATGCTCTAGCACATGCAGCACAATTCACAAAGGGTTAGAAAGAAGAAATTTACATCAATTACTTCCTTGGCCAGCATAGAGCTCTGACCTCAATCCAATTGAGAATTTGTAAGATGTATTAGAAAGAAAGGTCAGAATGCGTAGTCCTAAACCAAAAAATAAGTCAGAACTTTTAGCTGCTCTTAAAGAAGAATAGTACCAAATTGAATCTGAAAGATTATTAAAGTTAGTTAAAGTATGTCTTGTAGAATTAAGGCTGTAATAAAAAGTAAGAGGTATCCTATGCTATATTAGTATTATTTTTAGATTAATATAAGCTAATGAATGATTAAAATTTATTTGTTTTTACTAAAGATTATAATGTTGTAATAGCTAAAAATTTCTTTAAATTTTTTCAGTTTTTTTTATATTATTTATAACTATCTAATAAAATTTTATAAAAAAATTTATATTTATATATTTTAAATAATAACAAAAAAGGTTACTTAATAATAAAATTACATTAAGACCAAATATTTTAATGTTATACTATAAATAAAGTTTTTATTAGAAAATGTATTATTTTAAAATAAATTTTAAATTATTATAGTTCGACCAATTTTTATTTAAATTCTTTGAAATTTTATGTATCACGTGATATATTATAATAAATAACTTTACTTATGAAACTGAAGTTACATTTATTAATAAAAAAAAGTTTACTTATATCTAATTTTACCCAAATTAATTTAGTAATTTGTATAGTGTCCAGATACTTTTGTTCTGTGTGTGTATTTAGGATGAAGAAAAAATGCTAGAATATATATATTAACATTAAATTCTTTTCATTTTTATTAAAAATAGCAATATACTTTTTTTTTAAATTTCAAATTTTGAAATGTAATTTCTGCTATTGCATATAACATTTTAATTAATTCAAAAAAAGCAATCAGCTAATATAATTGTAGTAAATTCAAAAGCCTTTATAGCATTCTTTGCAGGATATAAAATTGTTTTTAATTGTTCAACATTATATCAAAATTGTCAATTTTGAATGATTGCTTTAACTTCAATAGCTTTAACAAAAATAGTTAGTTATTCTTCAAAAACCTTTATTAATTAAATAAAAAAATATTAATATATAACTAAATTTATAAACTAAATTTAAAAATAATATATTAGAAATACTTATAAGTTTAATACAATTTTTTTCTCTTAAAATTGAATCACAAACATTCCAAATTTTATTCCAACAAGTTTTAACTGAAGATTTTAAATTTATTCCAAAAATTAAAGAAGTAATAATTTCATCTTATAATGCTACACCAGCTCGACGTACACTATGAAAAAATGTAACAATTTGCTAACATTTTTGAAGTGTTTTTGGCTCATTCAACAGTAAGAATATTCTTTATAATTAAATTAATATGATGTGCAATACATCTAACTGTTATAATATGTTCATATTTATTTTTTAATCGTCTTTTTGCTACTTGCATTGCAGGTTCATTATCAGTATAACAGCTATAAACTTATCTTGATCTATAAATTCAATTACTTTAAGTATTTATTCTTCATTAAATGCAGTGATATGTTGATCAGAAGAAAAGTCATTAATAGAATATATGTATTGACATTGAGTAGAAGTAATAATTATAAATGCATATATATAATGTCTAAGAGGACTAGTTTATGAGTCAATTCCTAATAATATATTAAAATTTTTATTAAATATTTTTTAAATCTTAATAAATAAGATAAAGTAATATAATAAAATTTTTACCTAAAGTTAGATTTTTTGCTTGTCATAACTCTTCTTCAATTTTATTGCAATATTCTGTTTCAGCATCTAATAGTTAATTAGATAATACTGATCATTTTGGTAATTCATATCTATAACATAAACTCTTTGATAAATCTCAAAAAAAGGAGATTCTACAACAGAAAATAGGATTTCACAAACAAACATTGAACTAAAGTTTTATGAACTTGTAAGATTTTTGTTTCATCAATTTTATCATTATCAAAATAGTTGTATAGGTTATTTTTATCATCTAATTTTCGTCTTTTATTGGTTGATTCTAAAATATTATCACTTTTATTCATGTACAAATATTCAAGTTTTACATCATGTGTAATTATAGAATATTTACAAGCTAAATGTGCTTTTATATCACTTGGTTTTTCTCATTTTTAAGTTTGATTACCAAATTTACATTGAGCTGATTTATGAGAACTATTTGGAATATCGATTGAATTAAAATGTCCTATACATCATCTTTTAGTTTACCACCTAATGCTTTACTTTTTTGTTGCAATAGAGGCGTAATATCACTATCATCTATAAAGAAATCATCAAATATTGTTGTTTCTTCTGAAATACTACTCTATAATAATAATTATTAATAAATACAAAAAAAAAAATATTTTTTTATAAAAAAAATAATTTGAATAAAGCATTAATTTACCATTTTTTAAAAAATGTAAATACATTTGAAAATAGGTAAATACAATTAAAAAAAATTGGATGAAAAATATATATATATATATATATTCGTTTGTAAAAAAAAAATTTCGTTTATATAAAATATTTGTTATCATTTTAAAACAACAAAAAAAAGGTAAAAAAAAAATAAAATTTACTTCAAAAAAAAAATGTTTATAAATAAATAAAATAAAATAAGGATAATCGTTTAGGAAAAAAAAATTGATGTAAAAAAAAAGGTTAAAAAACAAAATTAAAAAAAATAAATCAAATAATCAGAAAAATTGGGAATAAAATATTGAAGATGTAAAAATGAAGGCTTCGTAAAAAAAAATAAATAAATTTCAAGACCTTCGTATAAAAAAAACTGAAAAATAGAATGTATAAAAAAAATAAAATAAGAAGTCTGTGTAAAACTATAAAAAAAAATGGACACTGTAAAAAACTACCGCCTAATCATAAATAAAATGAAAATTTCATAGCATTGTTAAAAGCATTACTTTACATGCTAATGAAAATTAATGAGTTTCGATTATCCTGATATGTGTATCTTTAAGGATAAGCTGTATTACAGACCCTGATGAAAGTAATGGCACTCAGTTTTTTAATAATTTGTGCATAATTTTATAATAAAAAATCAAAAAAAAAATTTATTTTCTGAAAGATCGATCAAAATTACATATATTTTATTAATTAATTAATATTTGGTATGGCCTCCTTCTGCGTGCTTTAATGCGACTTGACATACTATTAATGCAGTTAACTATTGCGATATTTTCAATATCATCTCATTCCTTCCTAATTAAATTTAAAAAAATTTCTTTTGAGATTTTTTTTCCTTTGTGCCACCATTCTCTTGACCCTCTTTCTCAACATTTTTCTTTAAAATAGTCCAAACATTCTCAATAGGATTAAGGTCAGGGCTATAGGAAGGCCAAGAAAGAACCCGACCTAGAAGGTGAGTTTTCAAGTCACCTTGAACATCACGGAAAGTATGTTTCGGGTCATTATCTTGCTAAAAAACCCATCGGTTACCATGTATTGCACTTGCATTATCATATAAATGTTCATTCAAAATTTGACAGTATAAATGACGATCCAAATTTTCAGTGAACATGTGTATGCCAATTTTTCTCTTAACGCTGATTGTACCCCAAACATGAACTTTAAATGGGTGTTTTACCATCGGAGCAATAGGTTTTTTATCACGTGACCATGCTGGGAGGGTATTACAGAACATTTGAAGTGTAGTTTCATCAGAAAATACCGCCTTTTTCCAATTATAATTCACGTGATCATGAGCCCAAGACAACCGGTTCTCTTTTGCTTTCTGTGTCAAAAAAGGAACTTTTCTGGGATGAACAGATACAAATCCAAGATTTTTTAGCTCACGACGAATGGTTCGTTCACTAACTTCAAGCTCTGGATTTTTTTCTTTAAGTTGGGCCTTCATTTCACTTGCTGTAGTGAAATGATTATG